AAAGCCCAGAGAGGGCCTGGGTTGGATCATGTCAGGACCAGGACAGTGAGAAACACAATGTGGTAGTGGAAAATAACTTTTGTTGATAGGGGGATTAGTTCACGGATTCAGCAGGAGACAGAAGGCACAGTAAGACCTTGGAATGGGTTGTTTATAGGGGAACCTTCCAGCACCACTGGTTCTATCTAAAGAGACATTTTCAGGAGTCTAATTAGGGTAGTCCTTTTAATTTGCTCTGTCCCTGGTATGCATCCTAGATAGTCACATAGGCATCCTGTCAGTTGTTACAGGTGAGGGGGTTCAACCAAGATCACTACCTGGCTGAGCAGATGTTGATAGTTTTGCTGGACAGGTTCAAACAACAAGGTATTATCATTGCTGAAACCAAGAGAGGGTCCTTTTGTTCATCCCGCCTTTCCATCTTCTATAATGACCTTTGAGGTCCCTTTCGGTTCTCAATCTATGTTCCCATCACCCTGGTGCAGAAGAAGAATATTTGCATCTATACTAAGCAGGGAGTGAACAGGGACACATACCAGATAAGTTGCTGAGGATGAGATTCCCTAATTTTAAAGTTCTGTTTGCTATGAAATGTAATCCAAAACAACTTCTGAGATTTTTACAGGGTAGTCAACAAAATTTATTAAGTGCTTACTACTATGTTCCAGGAACTGTGCTAAGCCTGGGAATACAAATAAAAGGAAAAAGAAAGACAGTCCCTGCCCTCAAGGAGCTTACATTCTTATTGGAGAGAATAATTCATAAAAGGAAGCTGGAAAGGGGTGTGTGGGGAGGGAGTGGTAGAGAGCCATGGTTTTGAGAGTCAGAAGCAGGACAGAGAGAGGAGAGAAGGGTGGCTGGCCTGGGCTTTTCTTATTACGAATAAGGGGTCCATTCCAGGAAAAATTCACTAATGAGAGGAAGGGGAAATCTAGGGTAAGGAGGCAACTGAGACCTAGTGGAGAAATCCAGAGTCAGAAGCAGAGAAAAGAAGTGAGGCCATGTATGGTCATAAGATAGTCTGAGAAAAAGATAAGAAGTATTGGTCATGGAAGATAAACAAAGTTCTTTCATCTGTAAATTATAAGTTTCTTGAGGGGAAGGCTCAGTTTTGTTTTATCCCTAGAGCATGGCAAGGAACTTTGCATACAGTCATTACTTAATGAATATTTGTAGAGTCAAATTTAATTAAATCACTTCACAGGTTTTCAGAGACAAATAAGTTGAACCATGTGAATCAAGTGTAGCACCCTTCCTTCCCCTTGGAAATTTATTTCCTTTTGTGGCCCTTCAGAGACAGGGTCAGACCTAATATACACATGAGTTAAATTTCCTGAGCTGTGTGCAGAAAGCTCTCTAAACCATTGTAGTGGGCCTTCTAGAGGGTGAAATTGGATCAGTCATGTTTGCGCTTGTTGGGTTTACACCTCTAAGAAAATTAGAAGTCAAATTTTGTTTTTTAAGTGCTATCCTGTTTTGGAGATTCACACTGTACGTAAAGGCTTTGGCTAAGGAATCAGCAGACATTTCACATAAAGAACAGTATAATGGGATGAAAGAAAGACAATTACTCCCATTTACTGCTTCTGTTCTACCACCCAGGGGCTCTTTACTTTCCTTGTGTATGTACCCGTTTAGCAGTCTGAGGGTGAAGACTCCTCAGAATAATGTTTGTAAATAATTGAAGGAAATGCTATATTTCAGGAAGAAGTGAGTGATAATAAAGGTGGGATTTTTTTTCCCCATCCAACTTCAGAGACCCTAGGTTAAAAACTCCTGCCACCAGCTGTCTCCTGACTCTTTTCATTCTTGATCCCTCTGCACGAGTAATTTTTCTGTCCAGACTCTGAGGAATACCCCAGAAAGGTTTTAGAGCCAGTAAGCTACTTATGGCTCTACATTGGTCCTCTATGGTCTGAGCAGAATAGTTTTTTTATACAAACATCTGCAAATGATTGGGGACTTCCTTCCTGTAGCTCTTGACAGCCATTTATTGACCTTGCTCCTATGAGGTAATCCTCAAAAAAGTCTTCTAACATAGCAAAACACAGATAATATAATAATACTATTAATAATGGCTACTGTTCAAAGGTTTGTAAGGCACTTTACACATATTATCTCATTTTATCCTAACAACCCTGAGAGGCGGGTGCTATTGTTCACGCCATTTTACAGATGAAGAATCAGAGGCAGATCGAGGTTAAGTAAGTCACCCTGGGTTACACGGACAGCAAGTGTCTGAAGTCACATTTTTCTCAGGTCTTCCTGATTCAGAAACAGTGCTCCACCCATTGTGTGACCTAGCTCCCAATGGATCTACAAAGGATTATTGTAGATGAGAAGTTGAAAAAGACTTTGGAGGCCATTTAGTCCAATTCCTTCATTTTACAGATGAAGGAACCAAGGCTAAGTGACTTGCCCGTGGTCAAAGAGATAAGTATCAACAGTAGGATGTGAACCCAGATCTTTACAAATCCTGCATTCTATCCACTAAGCCATACCACTGTGAAACAGCTAGAGTATTATATGAGGTTAGTAGAACATGTTCAGTGCAGTGGACAGGATGCCAGGCCTGGAGTCAGGAAGCCCTAAATTCAAATCTGGCCTTAGACACTTATTAGCTATGTGACCCTGGGTAAGTCACTTAACCCCGTTTGCCTCAGTTTCCTCATCTGTAAAATGAGCTGGAAAAGGAAACAGCAAACCACTCCAGTATCTTCGCCAAGAAAACCCCAAATGGGGTCACAAAGAGTTGAACATTACTGAAATAACTGAATAACAAAGTACAATTTCTAGGAAATCATACAGCAGACACAGACACATATATTTAGTCTCTTCAGAAGCTCTTTACTTAAAATCACCCTACTGCACTGCCTGAAAACTCCAACTGTTGTCAGTACCTCCAAGTTCCACCAACACACACATGCATTCGCTGTGTAGTGTTGTTTGCTTTTGGCAGCATAAAGCATGTTGGCATTGTCTAATCGAGGCTCCCTGAATAATCTCCTTTCTCTGCTCCCTCATCAAGGGCACAGAGCAGTGAGGAAATTACTGCTACAGGTTTCTCAGTTTAAATTCTCTGTGGAACTCTCCTGCCTCTCAAGAAATTACGATAGTGGTTTCCAAATTTTATGTAGTAACAAGACATTCAACAAACACATAAGAATTGTCACGTACTCCCCTGTCCATTTCATAAAAGTCTATGTAAATAATTTTATTGGCTGATATTTTATTCAAATAAAAGTAAGAAATTAATACGTTTGCAACATATAAATCTTAAATATACAATGAAAATAATACCGTGGATATTTTCTGATTGATAAAATCCTTCATAATTTTCACATTTGTAACAAAAAAATAACCACAGTAATACTTTTAACATGTTGAGTGGGCATAGGACACAAAGTTTATCAACATGTAGTGTCATTTATGATATTGCTGCTAATAATTCCTTTCCCACTGCTAATTGCAAAGTAATGAAAAAAATTCAGACCTTATTAATGCAAAAAGAAAAAAGGTGACTAGGAAGAGAGTAATAATAACTACTGACCTACTCTTCATACAAAATCTTTATGAGAATCACTTGTACACAAATTGAGAACGTTCTCAATGATGGTATTAATAGTAGAGAAAAGAGATGTTTCACAAATGATATTTAACAATTGTTATTGTTAGAAACATTGTCATTTTGTAATTAATTAAAAGATGTCACTAATATAACATACTACTTATTGTTCATGGATTACAAACAAACAAACAAACAAACACAAACAATTTGATTTGGTAGAGCAAAATTTTCCCTTATAGGTTCTCTTTCAATGAGGTGACCCATCCATACAACAAAAACATTCAAAATTCCTTGAAAGATATGACAACAGAAATAACTTTGTTCAATGAATCTCTATTCAAGTGAAGTAGAAAAAAAGAAAGATGTCCATTCACCAAAGGAATCTGCCACTTTAATGACAACATCCAACACAGAGTTCAAATTGAAGAGGAATTGATTCTCTGTGGTTAGTGCAGTCTTTCATATGCTTCTGTTTGAGGCATATATTTTGCTTGTTGTATCAAGCCCCAAGAATTGCAGATCCTCCTGGAATAGATCAGTAATGACTCAAAGGAATTTGGACTGATCATTCACACACGAAGACCAAGTGGATGAAGAAAGTCTATTGTCCAGATTACAACATGCATTTGCATCAACAGTCTATAGAGATTGTCTATCAGTGTATAAATCCAGGGCAGACAGTGCAAGTGGATAATGTGTTGGTTCTGGAGTTGAACAGGAAGAGGTAAGTGGGTTGGATTGCCTTCAGAAAACTGTAAAGTTCCTTTAATGACTCCCAAGCTTCTCATGGAAATAAAGCCCCATCCATCACAACTATGCTGTGGTTAGCAGAACATATTTGGGGCAGTGGATAGGATGCCAGGCTTACATGTATGTAAGTTTGCGACAGTATTTGAAGACCTTTCATTAATTTATTTAAAGTATCAGCTTTTTAAAAAATATCCATCCAATAGTCACATTTCAGGAGGACATTTCTGTTACAAAATGAATTTGCCTTATCTTTTTGATTATCACTTCGTTTTTTTAGCTCAAATATCCTTCTAAGTACTTTGGTGCTAGAAAGCCAGCATGTTTGGCAACAATCTACAATTCTTCTTTTGGACCTATGTTGGCACCTTTTGCTGAGCCTTCCAGGATCACAGATTTCAAGGTCTAAGGGATGGTGAAGATCATTTAATTCAATCACCCACCCATTTTTTACAGATCAGGAAACTAAAGCTTAGAGACATTAAGTGCAGAAACTGACTTTAAACCCCTTCCTCTTTTCATTGGAGCATGTTTTCCTCAATTGGTGTAGCTTTAACAAAATTTACCTGGTGTCAGAGGTGTGCTGGGGCCAGCTTATACTGGTTCACCAAAGGTCAATTGTTAAACTTTCATTAATGTTAGAAATCAGCAAATGCTACATATCAGAGATTGATTTATGGTTTTATTGATTATCTCAACTTTAAAAAGTGATGGAGAAAAGTATTAATAATCAGGATTAAATTCAAAAGTGTGTTGTGCCATTTTTGGAGAGCTGGTTGTTAAAAATTTACTAAGACATCCTTGCTGGGGGCCAATCTTCTGGTAGTGAGCCTCTCTGAAATCTGCCATGCTGTATACCTCAAATAAATCAAAGAATGAGGAAAAGAACATTAATAAGTACAAAAATATTTATAGCAACTTTTTTGTGATGATAAAGAACAGAAAATTAAGCAGGGTATTAGTTAGGGAATGTCTGAACAAATTGTATATGAATGTAGCATGAATATGAATGTAAGAAATGATGAAAAGGATGGTTTGAGAGAAACCTGGGAAGACTTGAATGAAATGATGCAGAATGAAGTGAGCAGAACAAGAACATTTTATACAACAACATTGTAAGTACAACTTTGAAAGTCTTAAGAACTCTGATCAATGCAATACCAACTACAATTCCAGAGGGCCAATGATGAAGCATGCTACCCATTTCATCTAACAAGGGAATTTGTTGGAATATATATGTCTATATATGTCTATATGTCTACAGAGCTTTTGTTTTTGTTTTTCCTTTCCTGTGGAAAGGAAGGTGAGAAGGAAAAGAAGCAGATTTTTGTTCACTGGAAAAAAACCTAATTTTTAAATTGCTAGGTAACTCCTTAGTAGACACTGGCCATAGTTATATCCTTCCTAGTTTGATGTGAGCTGGCATAGTCTATTCTCTTTTGGCATAGCCAGTGTGAAACCTGGATTGGTCACCTCCTTATCATGATGATACATAAGAACATTAGTGGAGTTGTGGATATAGTTCTATCTCTCTAGACACAAATACAATGTATATGTAAGGTGTGATTGTAAAGTGAGGAGACTGCTATTATTTTTGTTTTTTTAGCCAACATACTCTAACATGTACATATGTATTATTATAGGATTATAGGATTTAGAGTTGGAAAAAACTTCATTATTCCGTCCAACTGCTGTATTTTAAATATGGGGAAGTTGAGGCTCCCAGGAGTTAAGAGATTTACTCAAAGTCTTGCTCACTTGATTCAAACTTGGATTATTTGATTCTAAACCCAATGGTTATCTACCAAATGTCATCCTTTTGGGGGGTGATGCACTTATTCCAATGATACTCCAACCATTTCTGGCTTCCCTTCAGGCACGGGATGGACTGGATGATCTCTTTCAATGCACCATTCATTTTTAAAAGAAAATTGATCACTCTTGTAGCAACTTGAAACTTGCATATGACCCCTCACATATTTCTTGATGCAAGTGATGGATGGATGAGAATGAAACAGTTATTGAGTGCTTACTATGTGCAAAACACTGTGCTAAGCTCTGGGGATACAGACAGTAAAGTAACATAGTTCTGCTCTCAAGGAACTCACAGCCTAACGGAGGGAAACAATACATATATGTTACCAAGTCTTCAATGTGTCCAAATTGTATGAGAAGCCCCATTTTAAACTAGTTCTTAGAGACCTTAGTTTCATCCCTACATAGTTTGGGCTTCATCATTGAAGGGTCTAATGGAAATTTACTACATTGTATAATTTACATTCTGAAAATTCATCAATTATATTGAAAATGTAGTGGCTAAACTAGGTCTCAAGACAGATTTTGTATCTTTAAGGTCTTATTTTAAAGAATGTAACTCTTACTAGAGTTGAGTTTTCCAAAACACTCTAAAATATTGTAGGAATGTTTTGAGAAATTATGAAAGCTCAAGTATGACCCTATCCTAAGATTCAATGCATTGTAAACACATTAAGAATATAGTATTTAAAACAACTTTCCTTTCATCTATTCTGCATAAATAAACCAAATTAGAGTAAGAATAAAGTCAGATAGAAGGCTCCTAAATACTTCCAGGGTCTGGGATCAGAGTGAGATAGACAGACAGACAGACAGAGACAGATAGCAGGCAAGGGGGTGGGTAAGGGTGGGAAGGGGTAGTGAGTGTGTCTTAAGTGCTGACATGTGCCAGGTACTGTGTTAAGTGCTAGGGATACAGATAGAAACAAGCCATGCAGCCCTTGACCTCAAGGAACTTGCATTCTAGTGGGGAAAGACAGTACATAAGAGGAAGCTAGAAAGGGGATGTGGCATGACCAGACACGTCCATAGCCATGGAGTTATGGAGGCTTGGAACTCAGGAAGTTAAGGTCAAAATTGTCTTCTCAAAGATCAGGGAGGTTCCAGGAACTGACTCACTGAATCCAATTTACTGTGGGGAAGTAGTATAGGTAATCCTTAGAGTGCAGACTTGCTTGAAAGAGAGAGACAAAGATACACACACACACACACACACACACACACACACAGAAATAGAGATGTGAGAGGGAGTTTACTATTGGCTGAAAGGATTACATGCTGAAATGATTTCAGCATAATTAAAGAAGAAAGCATTTTGAAAATTGGATATTTTAAAAATGCATATTTAGGTAGAAATCATGGTTTAATGCATGAAATTGTTATTCTTTGTGTTACAAAAAAAGACAGGAAAGTGAGGCTGCTTCACTCACTCCTCCTCCTCCCCCCAAGTCACCTCTGATCCATAGGGTAACAGTCTTTTACTATCAATAAATATTTTGTGCTCTAGATAAACAAGGTTCTGGTAATTGATACAGGCAATGAACCTTACCAACAATGAATGTGTACCAACCTGCATTAGGGGGTGGCTGTTGCCAGGTCTCTCCTGAGCCAACACCAAAGGAACACTGACACAGGCATGTGCCACATTCCAGTGACCTCAATCAGAATGGTAACCTTCCCCGGGCCAGGGGCAGTTACTTTTCACTCGGCACAAGAAGGCACATTTATGTAACAGAGAGCAGGTCGGAAGAAAAGCTTGAGACCTCGTTTAGTAGAGCCTGGTTTGAGGGAGGATGGATTTCTTTAATTATGTGTGGGTGGCAGGGGTGAAAGTTGAGGACAAAAGGAACCCTGTCCAATTTCCTGCTTGTGTGTTTCTCTTGTTAATAAGCACTGCTTGGGATCACTTAAAGGATTTCTTCATCTGTTGTCACAAGGGACACATTCCTTTTCCAGAAGGGAACAGAAAAGTAGCTAAACAAGAGGATTCCTGTGACTCCATCTTAAGAACTCTCTCAGCCACCTTCTTGAACCTGCCTGTGCTCAGGGCCTCTCTGGCCAACTGTATACAGTCTGAGGTCTTATAGCTAGGGGTGGCAGGCCACAGAGAATTAATCCATTCGAGTCCATTTGAGGTTTAGCTAAGTCTTGTAACAGCTACCTACCTGATACATTTCATGAAACAAGGTAAGGATTATCCAGGTGTTATGCTTTTAAATTCCTTAAGGATGGGGCCTTCCTGGGTCCCCCAAGTTATCGGCATTCTTGAAATCACTTTGTATTACTTTTAAAACTTTTGGAACACCCTGTATAGTTTGTATTTGCTTATCCCTATAGGGTTTGTAAATTCCTTGAGGACACCTACCTTTCCAGTCTTCTTACATTTCATTTTCCTCTGTCATTCAGTAACAGAGGACAAATAGTAAGGCATTGCTACCCGTTCTTCAAACAAGACGCTGCACTCCCAATTCTGGGCATTTTGGCTGGCGGTCCCTTTGCCTGGAATGTTGTCTCTTCTCATTTCCACCTCTTAGCTTCTTTCAAGTCCGTAATTAAAATCCCATCTTCTACTAAACGCTTTTTCTGATCCCCCTTAATGCTGGTGCATTTCTTTTGTTCATTATCTCAATTTTATCCTCTATATTTACCTAGTTATTTGAGTGTTGTCTCCCCCATTAGGCTGGGAACTTCTTGAGGACCAGGACTGTATTTTGCTTTTATCTTCCTAGTACTTGGCACACAGTAGGTACTTAATTAATGCTTATTGACTTGACAGGAACATTTTTCTGGTTTATCTGGGTATCTCCAGTCTTGCTAGAACTGGCATTTAATAAATAATTGCTGAATTGAACTGAAAAAATACATGATATACTACATAGTGTGAAGAAGCAAGGTCCAGCCCTATCACGTGAACATTAGTTTCCTCCCTGTAAAATAGGAATGGTGATACTTGTTCTTCCTGCCTATCTCTGACAGCTATTGTAGCAAACAAGATAATAGAAAAAGTGATTTGTAACCATAATGCACCACGTAAGAGAGAGAGAGAGAGAGATCATGCAACAGAGCATTCCTTCAGCTCTCAGTGAATTTCCTAAAGATTCAGTCAGGAAAAAAAAATCTATCTGTGGAATGTTACCTATGTCCTTTGCATTCAAAATCCTGGATGGTTTACTCCAGGTTTCCAGGAGGATTTATGCTTGAGCCAAAATGGGAAGGGTTCATAAGTCTCTTGCCCATTGGACAGACATGATGGGGAAGTAACAGATTTCTCTGAGTGCCCCATAGAACCACATGTGGGATTGATATGTAATTAAGAGCTGTAAATGTTTTTTGTTTCCTGGATAAAAGACACTACTATGAAGTTTTATTATCTACCTACTCAACTTTTTAAAAAATTGATCCCAGTTCTTTTATGTTTCTCCTTTTGGGGGTCTATATAAACTTTATTATGGTGGATGGTTAGAAGCAATTTTACCATGCTATAAAACTATTCCTGAAGTTTCAAAGGGTCACAGATTTAGAGCCAGAAGGGACTTCAGGGGTCATCTAGTTCAACCCCTTAATTTTACAGATGTGGAAAGTGAGGCTGAGAGATGTTGTGACCTTCCAATGGTCACATAGGTAGGTAGTGAGAGACTGAGAAAGAATTCAAACCCAGGACATTTGACTCCAGAATCAAAACTCATTCTGTACCATGCTGCCTCTTCTTTTGTGACTGGCCCATATCAATCCCTTTACAAGACACAGATGTCCTCCAGGCTATGGTTCATAAGAGTATAGATTTAATAGAGGTAAAAAAGACTCTAGAGGTCATCTAGTATAACCCTTCCATTTTACAAGTAAGGAAACTGAGGCCTAGAGATGTTAAGTGACTTGCTCAAAATCACATAGGTAGTATGTGGCATAGGTTGAATTTGAACCCAGGTCCTCTGACAGCAAATCTAGAGTTATTTCTACTGTATCACACTGTACATACTCTGGTTGTTGCTAAATTTTAAGGATTCTTCCCTTTATTCTCTTTCTCTGGCTGCCATATTCTTAGTGCTTCTTACTTACCACATTAACCCTGGGAGCATGTGTTTCCCTTCTCATTTTATTGATAGAAAGCTATTGATGTCTTTACCACTCTTCTAACAGTCTTCTCCCTCTAGCCATCATCATAAGCTTTTATTGTCTGTGGCTGGTGATCTGTAAGAGCTCCATCGATATAGTCCCTGTCTTCTTGGAACCTATATTCTAAGATAGGCAATACTAATTTTTTAAAAAATAAGTTTTTATTGCTATGATCTATTTCTTACATCACCCTAGTAATTTAAGTATCCCTTCTCTTCTGGATAATTCTCCCAGAGAATCATCCTCTATGATGAATCATATTTTTAAGAGGAAAAAAATCAACACAACTGATCAATTCATTGAAAAAGCCCAAAAACACGTGCAATGTATAACACCTGTGTTCTGCCACCTCCACAAAGTATCTTTTCGTATCTCTTCGTTTGAGTGCTGCTTGATCTCTGTAATTTTGTTACATTTGTTTTTGATTTTTTTGGTGTGTTCTTTGGTTTATTTGGTTGTTCTTTCCATTTACATTGTTTTAGTTACTGTATATATTTTTTCTTGGCTCTGCTCACTTCACTCTGCATCATTTCGTATAGATCTTTCCATGCTTCTCTGTATTTGTCACATGTATCATTTCTTACACTGCTGTAATATTCCATTACATTCATTTACTACAATTTGTCTAGCCATTTCCCAATTGATAAGAGTCAACACAAATGTTAGCAAACATACTAAGGCTCTGCAAATGAACAAATACACAGGGTAAAGAATTTAAATCTGATGCAACAGAGTATTTGCATCATCTACAAATGTGGTTGTATGGGGAAGGTGCCTTCCTTTAGCTTTCGATCTGACTCATAGTGTCATGTCATCAAAGTTCCTTTGCCTGTAGGGGCCTGAGTTTCTCTCTCTCTCTCTCTCTCTCTCTCTCTCTCTCTCATAGAGATGCTATTAATTATCCTCCACTAATTTCAGAAGGGGATTGTGGGATTAACATGTAATTAAAAGCTGTATATTTTTGTTTGTTTGTTTCCTGGATAAAATACACTACTATGAAGTTTTACTATCTACCTACTCGACTTAAAAAATTATCTCAGTTCCTTTATGTTTCTCCTTTTGGGGGATCTATGTAAACTTTAATATGTATTATCTCGCCCCCCCCAAACAAAAAAGGCCTTCAAGCACCCAGAGCAGTACTTGAACTTGGACCACTACAACATCTACAGCCTGTCCCATTACTATGGGTTGTTAACCAGGTCAAGATGAGAGGAATTTGAGTTTATTCATCTTTTTGCATACATTGCCTGCTGGTAAAAATCTTGACAGAATATTAACTTTTGAAGCAGCATAGGAGAACACTAGAAAACCCCCATGCACCACCACATTTCTAATTCTAGAGCCTTCCGGATCATTGAGATTCAGTGTGAGATGCTGATGTTAATCTATTTTGAAAGGAAAAGGGTAACCCAGAGATTCTTAAACCTTTTCCGTAACTACTCTCAAGATTCCTGAGACATATTCCTCAAACTCCTTCATCTACTTCCCCCACCCCCTCAACTCTTTTACATAATTCCCTCCTCATGTCCACTCCTATCCCCACCCTTGTGGTGTGGGATTCTTTTTTACTTTTCAGAAGGGAACAACACAATAACCTTACTTTACCCACTTCAGAAATGATTAGATTCTGGTCTAAGCTAAACTATTATGCCAAGTTAAAACTAGGTAGAAAAGAGGAGGGTTATGAGGCAGAAATAGAAGGGTACAACTCAGGACGTAAACAGTAATAATCATAATCAAGGTAGAGACAGACAGACAAATAGACTGTGGTATAATGGATAAAGAGCTAGCTTTGAATAAGGACAACCTGGCTTAAAAGGATGCTTATCGTATATGCTGGCGACATGACCCTGCACAAGTCACTTATATCTCAAGACTGTACTTTGCAGAACAGCAGCCAATCTGCTTTGGTAGGATTTTCCACATCAGTAAATTCTCAACATTGATGAAGATACAGGTATGAACCAATTAATGACCTTAGTAACAATTAAAATTTACATAGTGCCTTAAAGTTTATAAAATGCTCTACATATATTTTTTTTCATTTGAGCACCACAGCCAATCTGTAGTATAGATACTATAGGGATTAAGATTCCCATTTTACCCATAAGGAAACTAGAGAAATTAGGTGGCTTGCTCATGGTCACAGACCTAGAATATGTCAGAAGCAAACATTGGAACCCAGGTCTTTCTGAATCCAAGTCCAGCTTTCTACCCACTACATCACATTACCACTCATGGGCACAAGGCACTATGCTCAGTTTCTCTGCATCTGACTTTAAGTGGTCCATTACCCCTCCTGAGAGATGCAAATCTCCGATGTAAGAGATATTGGGTAGCAAAGTGGTCAAGTGGATAGCACCTTGGGCCTGGAATCTGATAGACCTGAGTTCAAATTTGGCCTCAGACACTTACTGGCTATGTCAGCCCTGGGAAAGTTATTTAACTTCTATTTGCTTCAGTTTCCTCAACTGTTGAAGGGGGATAATAATAGCATTCCTGGCACATAGTAGGCACTCCATAAATGTTTGTTCCCTTCCCTCCTTTTAAGCATGACCCTGTGTCAAAAAGATGTCACCCTCCTTGTCACCAGAGAGGAAAACAGACACAG